TCTCCCGAATGGTTCCCATGTCCCCAGTCAGCTCGACCTCTGAGTCGCTGGGCGACGATACTCTTGTGTTCTCCGAGTCCTTGTTCATCAGCTGCTTCTCTGCTGACTCTGGACCTTTCTGGCTCTCAAGGGCAGGGCCAAGAGCGACCTGCCATGTGGCATGGTTTCTCCATGTTGGGATGGTTCATGCACGTCTCCAGGTGGGCCTATTGTGTCTGCTGCTCTGTGGCATGGCGTTTCTTGACTGCACAGTGGTGGCCGGCCCAAGGGCTGGCGCATGTCTCCATGCCGCTTCCCCGGTGCCTGCTGCCTGCCTCTCCAGGTGCCTGCATGGCCAGGTGCGCTGAGTCCTGAAGGGCCCGCGCTCCCCAACTGTGCGGGTTCCAAGAGTGGGCGCCTGTGGCCTGCCTGCCTCCCTGGGCACCCCAGTGGCTGGGGTGTGCTAGGCCCCAAAGGGCCCACGTTCCCCAGCCACGTGTCCTCCTGGAGTGGGCGCCTGTGGCTTGTCTGCCTCCCTGGGTGCCCACACGGCCTGGTGTGCTGGTCCCCGAAGGGCCAGTGCTCCCCTGGCTACGTGGGCTCCTGGAGCAGGCCAGAAAAATGATTTCTATGTTAAAAAAAACACCCTAAGTTTCAACATGGGACAGTAGGAGTGAACCTATGGCATGCATTTTACAGCTGGCTATTTGTTATCACTGAAAGCTCTAAAAGGTTTCCTATCATTGACATAGGGCATTATATTGGCAACTTACTTTCATGTTTATTAGAAAAAAATTTGTATATTACACTTCCAACTTTTCTAGAAGTTTGATTTTTTAAAATTAGTCTTTCAGTAGTTAGGCCTGGTGGCACACACTTGCAATCCCAGCCCTTGGGAGGTTAAGGCAGGAGGATCACCATGAATTTGAGGGCATCCTGGAATACACAGGGAGTATAAGGCAAGCCTGAACTTCATAGTGAGACCCTGTCTCAAAACAAAAGAGAACAAAATAAAAGAAACAAACAGAAAAACCCCTCAAAACAAAAAAATAAAATATTATAATCTCAGGTTGTGTAGCTCAATGGTAGAGTGCTTCTTTAGCATTTGATCCCCAGCACCAACCTACCTCACAGTTAGAATCCTTGTGGGGTAAGACAGAGCCACAGTAGTGAAAAAACTGTTTATGAGACTCTAATACGCAACTAAGGTTACAGAGTCTTCATTATTAAACAAAAAAGATAAACTTTTTCACTAAGTGCATGAGTCCTGAAGGGCTTTATAACCACAATTTACTTAATAAAATTTTTCTCTTTTTCTTCAATAATTATTTATTGACAAATTTTTATATGACTGGCAAGAAGGAATCCCTTTACACAGTTTCATGGAAATATACATGAGTGAACAGACACTGTGCTGTAATAATAATAATAACACAATTATTTGTCAGGTACTATGCTGTCTGATGGGGCAGATACTCTTAGTTATTTTCATTTTACGAAATGAGGGAACCTAACAACAGTGACGAGAGCAGAAACACTCAGCTATTTTGACTCTTGGCTATGCTACTATAGCAGCAGGAAGCCAAGTACAGTGGAAATTCACACACAGACCATGGTGCAGACGGAGGATCCTGATGGTTTCTTAAAGGCCAGGCCATGGAATCTATCTTTACACATGCACACGTTTTCCCATTTTAATAACCACAAATTCTCCTTCCATGAACATATGTGCAGATGACTTTCTATTTTGTAGTCTTGCTGCCATCCTGCTCCTTTGGTTAGACGGTAAGAAGTAGCTTTCTGAGATAAACTGTAAGGAAAATCCCCATGTATGCTGCCCCATAGCTGTCACAGCAGTATCAGGATATCACTTGCCCTCAGCCTTATCAGCAAGGTAAAACTCTTCTACCACCAGTGCACAAGTAGGATTTATTCGATTACTCCTTATGCTGAACAACTTCCCATCGGTGCTTTCCTACATAAATCCAAGACCCTGTTACAACCAAAAGTGTCAGAGAGCATTACCAGTGCAATAACGCTGTAGGATGCATCGTAAGTACAATGCTTATATTTACTCTTATAATCACAAGAGTGATTTTGGCACAACTAACAGCATATAAGGAAATCAGGCTTTTATATTCATGCTAAGATCTTTGGCCTTTCAAATTACTGTAAGCTCTCTGAGAACAGAGCTCGTCCTGTTTGATTCTGAAATTCTATCACAATGCCTGCAAATAAAACATACTTTATAACAGTATGCTGTAAAAATATATAGATGGAGTAATATATGACGAAAAGACATAAACTGAAATCATACTTTTGGAGGCCTACACATACAATGCCAATACACACAGCTCAGTAACCATCACATCAGGGCAAGATGAAGGAATAGTAACATGTTCTCTTCTTTGTTGCCTGTCATATAAATAGGATGACAATTCAGTGTGCCTGTTAACTATTCATGCTTCTTGTCCCAGCATCTTGTCTGATTGAAGTTGCCGTTTAGAAAGATCCTGGCCATAAATGTTATGGTCCCTCTACATCTAAAGGATGTTCCCTTAATGAACAGCAGGTCTTAAGGACAAGTGCTTCCCTGATCAGAAAGCTTATCAATGTCCCACTCTGAATTCACTTAAAGACCTATGAGAAAATTCTTTTGGCTGGTAAGTGTTTCTATGATGCTTTTCCATTTAAAGGCAACTGTGTAGTTTGCAAACATGTAGTTAATCTCTAAGAGAACATCCTTGGCTCTATTGGCATTCTCGGTTCCATTTTATTGATAAGGGAAGTGAGGCATGGGAAGAAAAAGTGACCTGTCGTTCAAGGTTACATCAAGCATGAGTCAACCATATGTGAGAAGCTCATTGGAGGTCCAACTTTTGCTTTTTGATTACCTCTCTAAACTCCAAAATCATTTGTATGTAATAAAATCAACAGTACAGTCAGGTTGGAAAGATTTTAATCATTTAGAAAATCTCTTTATAAACTATAGGCACTAATAATCTATTTCAAATTGTGTAAGCAAACCCATGGGCATATTTTGGATAATATTTTTTACTGGGTATTAATTTCATGGTTAATAATATTTTAGTTCCACTGAGTGACAGTCTCTATTGAAACCTCAGGTACTCGTTCCAACTACCAGGGTAAAGGGAATATTTACAAAATAGGTCAATTGAAAATAAGCATTTAATTCTTTTGGTAATTAAAAATAAATTTTGCTACATCTTTACATTTTATAAGTACACCTAAATTTCATACAATGATGCACTATTTGGATAAAATTTTAGTAGGTTAACATCTTGGATTATAGCAAAAAAATCTTGATGGTGCTAATTCATTCTCTATAGCAATAGAGACAAAAGCTGATTGAATTCATATTTAGCAGTTTATATCTAAGATGTATATAAAAAGAGTGATTCTACTGCCTGTATAAAAGGAGAGGCACACATGTGTAGAGATGGAGGGACGCTGTTATAGATACATCATCCCACATTAACTTATAAACATACTGCAATGCCAGTCAAGTCCTATTTGCATCTTTGGAGGTGGAATACAAAACTTTGTAAAACAGGTATGAATTCATTGGGAGGAGTAAATTTAAGAAAATAAACCAAGAAAACTTTTGTAAAGTATGAACTACAATAATAACAACAGTATTTTTCTGGCACAGTTTTCTGTGCCAATTTTATAAAATTGGAAGTCCAGAGACGGGCACAGGTGTATAAGTAAGTATTTAGTAAACAATAAAGACAATAAAGGAGGATGGAAAATGTATAGTACAGTGCTGTGAGATCTGTCTAGGTCTTTACCTTATACCAAATGGCAAATAAATTCCAGGCAGTGTGAGCATTTCAGTGTAAGAAAACAAAGATAAAATATTTAGGGAAGACTTTTCTATATATGACTTCAAAGACAAAATAATTTTTAAAGAGCCTAATAGATTTGATCACCTAAAACATATAATCACTAAAATAAATATGAACTAAGAATATCAAACATTTTTGATTATGCATACTATAATCACTTGAATTTACCACTTATCTCTTAATTTAATTTAGTTTGTTTTAATAAAAAAAAATTTAAATTACAAGAAGTGAAAAGTATGAATCTTTTATTTAAGGTTTCTGTGTTTTGATTTTTTTGGTTTTGGCTCACAAATGACTTTCTTAACCCCAAATTAGATCGATTTTCACCTTTTTTTTTTTTACAATTCTTTCATTATTTCTTATTTTATGGTAATTAAATAGTTGAGAGGTCACTATATGATTCTGTCTCATTATCATATTTAGAAAAATTAGTAACTTCCCTAAATCTTACTTTCCTTTTCCTAAAAAAAAGACACAATAATTTCAGCCTATTAAGATGCCATACCAATCAAAAGAAATAATTTATACAAAGCATTTATCATGGTAGAGCTTGGTACATAAAAGGTACCTATAAATGGTAGTTAGTACCTTTAACGCTACTGCATTCTATATTGGACTTCTTGATTTCATGGGATATTGTTATGATTAGAAACATATGGTGCTTTATTTAATTTTTAAAATTTTCATTAGCATATGTTTATAGGACCTAATGCTAACATGGTACATGTACAAAACACATCTTATGTTACTTGATTTAAACACATGTTTCAATTAATGCTGTAGTTTCTTACTATTTTTAAAACACTACATGTCAATGAGAAAATGATATCTTAATTTTTTTACTACCTAGTCTTAAAAATACTACAATTTGATCATTCAAAAAAAAAAAAAAAAAATGAGGTCACATTCTGTTGCCAGGCTGGCCTTGAACACCTGGGCTCATGAAAACTCTTACTCAGCCTCTCCAGCAGCTGAGTCTGAAGGAGCATTACACTGTGCCTGGCTACAATTTGGTCTTTTAAAATTGCCATCTGAAGCTATCAGATGGCCAAATAATAGAGTAACCCAAGAAAATTAAGGGATTTCCTACACACTAGAACTGCTGAGATTATTTATGAGCTTGTCATAGATGTTTACCTTGCTTTATCTTACCTCTAAGAGGCCATCCTCTGGCAGATCGGTACAGTGCACAGCATTCTGGATCTTAGTTTTACCAAAGATTGCCCTCAGGGTTCCAGGGCGTAAATGCCGGGCAATTTCCTGTGAAATACACATTCACATAAAGTTAGTGATAGAGTGTTAGTTAAGAAAAACACTAGCTAGGGGGCTGGGCATTTAGCTCAGCGGCAAAAGCGCCTGCCTGGCAAGCGCAAGGTCGTGAGTTCGGTTCCCGGTACCGGAGAAAAACCAAAAAAAAAAAAAAAAAAAAAAAAGAAAAACACTAGCTACAAGAAACACTTGAATTATTTTGTTTCTAACATATACGTTATACATTGAAGGTACTGATTTTTCCTGGAAACAGCATGAATGTATGGAAATTTTGAGCACTCAAAGTATTATTTACTTCTGAAACTTTTTCCTGTGGCCCATTGTAACCTATGTCAATTCACTGTAATCTATCTCAGAGGGCAAAGACATTTTTTAATAATAGATTATTGGAATCACAGAAGATATTAACCCAGTTCATTACTCTAAAAGATTTGTATTTATAAAGATAGTAATCATCTTACCAACTTGATTTACAAGGAAATAGTTTAACGGTATTGAATTTTTAAGTTTTTTTTTTTTAAGTCACAGTGTGTCTGCTTATTACTAACTCTTTTTAGGACAGATAATGGTCACAAAAGCCCTGAATTTCAGGAAAATTGGAAGTTTTACCAAAAGGATACAATAAGAGAGGTAAAAGGATAATAACAATGCAGTATTAAATTGAGTAAGGAAGTGACGTCGGATATGGAGTGAGGGAAAGAGAATGACAAGGCAGATGGAGGGATCCAAGCTGAGCCAAATGAATGGGATGATGATTAAAGTAACTGTGTGCGTGTGTAATGGCATAACCCTGTAATCCCAGCACTCAGGAGGCTGAGGCAGGACTGCTGTGATTTCAAGGCCAGCCTGAGCTACATAGTGAGTTCAAGGCCAGGCTGAACTTCATAGCAAGACTCTGTCTAAAAAACAAACAAACAAAAAAACCAAACACCAAAAACAAACGAACAAAAAAAAAGCAAAAAAACCAAAATAAAGACTCAATGAGAAAAAAAATGTCAAGTGTGTTATAAAGAAGTTAATCAGAAAATTAAGAAACAGGATACGTGAGATGAGCGGGTGTGGGGGAAGGAGGCTACCACGATTGATGATGGCCAGTAAATGGTACAGCAAGGGGTGAGGTCAAGTTGAGGACAAGAATGTAGTAACAAAAAGAGCCCAAGAGATGGATCAAGATATTGAATGACTCACTCCTATGTACCTGCAAATCACAGAGAATCTTGACAGGGGTACAAAGGGGTACAAAGATATGAACAGCATTCACATTTGTGGTTCCATCACTTAAGGATATTTTTCAAAAGTGTACATGTAATTATAGCCTTGTGACAGACACACTGTGCCATTTTGCATCGATGACAGGCCACATAAATGAACGTGGTCCCATAAGATATAATGGAATTAAAACATTTCTATCATGTAGTGACATCACAGCCATCATAATGCAGTATAATGTATTACTTATATATTTGTGGTGATGTTGATATAAAAAATCTATCCCATTCCCAATCATATAATAATGTAGCACATATACTTTGTATAATATATGATAATAACAACAAAGCGCGGTGTTATTGGTTTATGTATTTACTATTCTAATTTTTATTTTAGAGTACACCTTTTACTTGTTAAAGAAAGTTTACTATAAAGCAATAGTCCATGTTACTTGCAGCAGTGTTATACATTTTGTCCTTAGGATTTCATTTTGGATTCTTTTTACAAAGGTACTGATATATTGATTTTAGTTTTAACTATCATAAGACATCACATATGTATATAAATGTAAAAATACTGAAATATGAACAAATACTAAAAGTGAAGGTGAAATACTAAAAGTAAAGTGATACTTCATAGATCATTTTCCTTCTTCATTTAGATGTTCCCTGTTTATTTCTAACAAATCTATGTACCTTCTACTCTATGGTAAAAACCATACTAGTGCACTCATTCACTCTCCCTTAAAGGAGCAGAAATGATTATACAATACAAAAAGGCAACACAAAGTACTGTACCAACATATAATTGCATTCAATACTTTAAGTACTTCTTGTAAAGTTACTGCAATATTCATAAATGATAGGTTATGCTGAGAAAATGAGCCTCTTTGGAGAACAAGATTTATTTGCATTTACTGGAGAGTCAATAGTCTTTCAAACTCCACCAAATTCCTGCCATAATCATCCCTCTCTACAACCTGGACTGCCTAGATCCATCATGTGCTTGGTTATTTCATAGCTCATTGTAAGTACTAAAAATTCTGCTCAGGTAATCCTGCAGTGGAAGGAACAATTCTGGCTTAAAGAATGATCTCTAATATAGAAAAATGCACTGAATAGAATGGTGGTTAGTAAAATACTGAGAATGAAGAAATTACTTAGTTATTCTATGGCTGTGTGCATTTTAAAGAATGTCAGTGTTTACGGAATAACAGATCTGTCTGGCTGATAAAGTATGTCTAGATGAAGAACTAACTGCTTCCATAGTAAGCTATTCTATTAGTTCTCTACAACACAAGAAAGATAGTATTGAATTTTGTATATAAGAATCAACATGACTTTCCATACAACAAACTGAAAGAGATTTGTGAAATTTATTAATTATAGATCTTTGAAGAAAGAATTTTATGAGCAACTACAGAATACATTTGTATGAGCAGCGGGAGGTAGTTAATCATTAAGTTACCAGTTCAATTCCAGGAAAATTTTAAGTACAAGAGAAAAAGTCTTCCCTAAGGTATAGAATAATCATATTAGCCTTAATACAAGTAACTGAATACATACTTAAAAAGGATCTAGCATAGCTTCAGTCCTAACAACTCTAAGATAAATATGAAACAAAATTTTAAAATGTGTTAGAATCATTGCCCTCAATTCATAGTCAACAAGAGTAATAAAACAATAGCAAGGCCAATAATGACACTATAATTAAAACAGCAAGCATTCCTATTGCTAGCCATGACTGGCACTCTTCAACAAGAAGCCTTGCAATGTTAAATGGTGCATAGGCGTTAAATCATCTGCTTGACTCCTCCAGCTCTTCAGAGCATCTTACCAAACAGACCCTCCAACAGCCTCTTCCCTTTGCATGCAACCTTGTACTAGTGCAGTTATATTTTTATGTTGCTTGGAGACAAGTAGTATCAGACTAAGTCACAGGTAATACAAGATAAGGAAACACAGGGAAGAAACTGGAAGTAGCAAAGGAAACCAGACAAGAGATCAAAAGGCTACATTCTGTGGTCTAAGAATCCTTTTAGAGTCTATACATAGATTTAAAAAGAGTGACTACATAGTTAAACTCAGCTAGATACTTGTTATTTCATTGAGTGCGTCATCTGAGAGAGCATGGAGAATACATACATTTGTACTGAAGACTATAAGAACCGCTTATATATGAGGAATCATTAAAACATCTGCTTTCTCAACTCACAGGCTCCACATTTTACTTTTCATTAGGTAAAAACCAGCTGTAATATAAGCTTATAATGTGAAGAATGTCACAATTAAGTGTTATTTCATGTACAACATTTAGACTATTCAATCCTGTCTTTCCCACTAGATTTAAATAAACCACATAATATGATAAGCGCTGCCTCTTACTGAGCTGTTGGCTACTTCAATCAACAATAAGCACTGGCTAAAATGCAAATGAAGTCTTATGTGATATAGGAGTTGTTTAGAATGTAAAATTATGGTCTCTTAGTTCTCCTCTTGTTAAAAGAATTGGGAAATTTTGAAATCCCACTCCTATAATCCCACCTACATGAAATATTGAGGCAGATATGTTATAAGTCTAAAGGTAGCCTGGGCAATTTTTTATTTCTCAAAATAAAAAAGATGGGGATGTAGCTCAGTGCTTCCTGGGTTCAACTCACAGCAGTATCGAAGGGGGAAAGTATTGAGCAAATCTCCTTACTTACTTTTATATATAAATTATATTTTAGCAAAAACTATAAAAACTGATTTGCATAAGCAAACTTTGAGAACACAGAAATTAATATAGAGGAAAATAACTGCTTTTTGGTAAACATTTTTCTATTTCTTTTCTATTTAAAAAATACTACATTATAAAAGACCCAAACATCCAATGGAAAGGTGGGCTCATAAAAACATTACAGTGTGCCTTCATCCACCTTTTTCACCAGATCTGACACTGTGGTTCTTCTGCCTCTTCCCTGAAGTCAAGTTCATAATGAAAGGGTAATGATTTGAATGGACTCAGGGTATTGGCGGCAGCCATGACAGTGCAATAAAGACACTCAAAAAAGCAGACTTGCAGAACTGCTTCAGAAAGTGGCAAGAACAATGGGATAAGTGTATTTGAAGCAAGAGGGAGTATTCTGAAAAGGATTCAAGGCAATATATCTTTTACTATAACAATATTATTTTCAGTTTGAACATTCACCATTTTTAACAACTGCATGATGTATCTAGATTCCTACTGTAGGATCCACGGTCCCTAATAAACACAGCATCTAGAGAGCAGTTAGAATGAGTTTTATAAAATGTGCTGAATCACACCAGCTTCTGCCTAAGATACACTGATACAATCCTTAAAATCCAAAGTTCTCAACATGGCCTATAGTCCTGCATGGCCTGGCTCTGCTTACCTCTCTGCTATCCCCTGAAATGATCAGTCATATCAGCCTCATTCAGCTTTTCAAAAGCAACACGCTTTTCTTTCTTTCTTTTTCTTTTTCTTTCTTTCTTTCTTTCTTTCTTTCTTTCTTTCTTTCTTTCTTTCTTTCTTTCTCTTTCTTTCTTTTCTTTCTTTCTTTTCTTTCTTTCTTCTTTCCTTTCTCATTCTTTTCTTCTCTTTCTCTCTCTTTCTTTCTCTCTCTTTCCTTTTTTTTTGAGACAGGCCCTCACTATGTAATAGTTCTGCTGGCCTTGAACTAACTATGTAGCACCCATGCTGGCCGTCTGGCTCTTACCAGTTGAAGCTGCTCCCTCCAAAGTCGCCTATAACCAATTAGTCCTCTAGCCAAAAACTATCAT